CTTGATCCACAAGTAAATAAGAAATCCGTCACTAAAGGCAACGAGGTTTCCGCCGGGTCCATCGACAGAATGCTGTCAATTCAACATATAACAGCAAGTGCTGGCTGTGTAGGCGGTAGAAGTGCAGTGATCCCGAACCTTCCAGCAATCGACTTTGTGAAATGCCCATTCGACTTGTGAAGCTAAACGAACATATCATATTCTATCATACCCTGTGTACGAATCCCCCCCATTAATTCCCCCTATGCAACTAGTAAAATAAAGCTGTAACACGCATTTGTGTTTTATATACTACACTTGTACTGAGCCTGTGTTAAGATACGTAGTCACCCCCCCACACCCGCGAGTCACGCTACCAAACTTCCTGTCTTTACATCCTCCTACTATAAATATTCTACCTACATGTAATATCCTCTTCTGGTGAGTTTTGTCTCATTACAACATCTTCCAGTCCTGGGAATGAACACGTCTCCACCCACATACTTCTCAACTCAAAAGACACAGGTTCTGAGCATTCCACCCTGAACTGTCCCCTTGTGACGACCATCTTGCCAAGGAGGTCACAACAACTCGACTAATCTTCAGCAAGGATGCTTACAATAATTCTAATACACCAACCCCTTGAAATAATACTCAAATGAAATACCACAACACAATGATAATACTTGATGAAACTGTTGAAAAAATTGTACTCTAAGGCTACACAGATGAATACATAAAAGGGAATACAGGTTGTACCTCTCTAGTCCGGCATTCTGTGGTCCGGAAACTCCCGTGGTCCGGAATGATTTTAGTTTGTCCAATAGGTAGATAGGCAGTTTTTTTTTTTATCTGAATTATTATTATTATTACAGGAGTATTAAATTTTTGCCCCTCAGGCCCCAATGTGGGTCAGTGACCTATGCCCGGGTGGGCTAATCCCCTAAAAAAAAAAAAAAAAAGCCGCGGGAAATTAAGGTTTGTTTACATCCGGCAGTTCGGCTGCTCTCTCTCTGCTTGTCTATACAGAGTACAACATTTAACCCTTCAATATATATGAGCAGTAAATAAGTGTTGCTTTCATATTCTTATGTAGAGTAATGACGATATGTTTTCACATGTGCGCACTTACATACGCGCAGTCTCACTTTTTTTTACCATTAATGTTAGCTACTTATATTGTTCCATTTATTAACATTAAATAACATTACTTAAAACAACCGTATTAATTTTACTACAGCTACAACCAAGGTCTTATTTTCTTCAGTTTTATATGTAGAACCAGTCAGTCACTGGTTTTGTAATCAACGAAAACAATGCTGTGTCATTTCCTCGTGTGTTTTAATATTCTACGTATTATTAATGAATTGTATTGCTCATTTTGTACACATAAACATTAATTCAATAAAAAAGACATGACGCCGTTTACACGATTATGCACGTCGTCTGCACGTTGGCGGGCCGTTCAAACCCGTCGAAATTCAAGTTTCCGCCGTCAAAATTTTTATTTATTTATTTTTATTGTGTGTTCCAATAAAATACGTTAAAAATTAAAAACTCGCGAAATATGAGAAGCTACTATACGACATTTAACCCTTCAATATGTCTTCAAAGAGACCATGACGAAGAGAAAGTGGTGCTAGTGCTTCCAGGCATAAGCACAAGTCACTATCTATCCAGGAAAAGGGTAAATTTCCATGGTCCGGCACCGGTCAGGTCCCGAGGTTGCCGGACTAGAGAGGTACAACTTGTATCACTGTACTTGACAAGTCCTTAAGCTCTCTTTTAAGGCACAATTACATAACTCAAAAACAATGGTACCTGTTAGTAACAATCTCTGTATGGCTCAACACTGAACACTTCCCAAATTACACTGTATACTCACAATTGCGGGTTCATACACTGTACAACACTCTACTTTGAAAGATTGCATTCACTTGGTGTCCACATACAGTATCAGCGTAAGGTCCTCAAACACAATCAAAGGCAATACTCTGAAATTATACTGGGCATTAGATCTCACATAACAGTGCACCACAAATACCAACAATAAAGTTAGCTACTCCACACAAGGCCAAAAATGAACCACTCTGCATTTAAAATCTTAGGTTAGCACCTTCTAAAATATATCGTTAGAATTAAAAAACATACAGCATACACAAAAATTATACAATAGTATCAATACACACACTACAAAATATTAAATGTTAGGACATGTCCTACCTAACACATAAATTTTTAATGAATGTTACAGCTACAAAGTACAGTACACATCCACTTAACCTTGAACTACTACTGCGATGAAATACTTCACCAAAACACTAATGCCATGGCCCAAACATATTCTCACTGTCTGTAAGTAATAACTGAATTAACACAGGTTGGAAAAAAAGTTTGGCAGATTATCAACACTTCATGAATTAATGAACATCATCTAGAATTCTAATATCACAGACCAAAGATATTCTTCAAAGAAACCAATAGTTAGGCATTCTTACTCTGAATATTTTACGTTACCATACCATAGTATTGCAAGAATAATTTACTCAAAAAATAAATCTTAGCCAATTGTTCTTACTTACCTAACTTCCAAGTAAAATATTTAACTGTAAAATGTTCTTTCAATTCTCCGCCAAAACACAAAGAAAAAATTCTGTACACTCCTTCAACACTGTTTCCACAAAAACAATAAGTACCTATGGAATAATTATGTCCCTACCTAACTCGTACAGAATTCACACAAAAATAAAAAATTATTAGCAAACTGGAATAATCACTAGATACAGAGAAATGGTTATTAGGTACCTGTACACAGGCCCGGATTATCCATTAGGCACAGTAGGCACAGTGCCTAGGGCCTACGAGATATTGGGGGCCTACGAAAAATAAAACGAGAACTTTTCTTCCCCTTTTTCTACAGGTTATTATGAAATTGATACCGAGGTACTTTTTTTCCATTTATTTATTACTTAATCCTATTAGTGTCCACCAGCTAGCTGTGCTTCTTGTAAACAAAACTATTTCTGTACTGTACAAGAACAGCTGATCTAACCCATTTTCTTTTACTCAATTCATAGCAAACATCACTGAATCTTATTCTTTCGACATCACATTTTATAATTAGGTACTAGCTTGTGTTATTAGTGAATATGCTGTCAAATGGGGCCCCATATCTTGGAGGTGCCTAAGGCCTACGAAAGTCTTAACCCGGCACTGCCTGTCCAGAGAAATGGTTATTACGAATCACAGATAAAAACAGCCCACAGCACCACGTTCATTCTTCCCAACTTGATACCATATTAAATTACATCCCTACAGCTGTCTCCATTGTAGGGGCGGGGGAAAAAACCAATGAAGGGGATCTACTTCCTATAATACCTTACTTTACTTTCTCTCTCTATCCCACTACTTCAACAATTACTATACTTTCTGACTTTACTTCTAACCTGAGGTGGCATGACTCGAGGGTAAGACACTTGTCAACAAGGTACCTTACGTATTCCACAATCACCCATACTTGGTGTATCTTTAAACAAGACACCACACTACCCTTATACATCGTACACTGGAGTACCAACAATACACTTCCTGTATGATACACTGTGAAGTACAATACAACTTCAAGTACAGTATACAAACATAATGGTATACTTTTCACAAAACCACCTAACACAGAGATCACACCTATAGTACACTGGAGCATCAACCGAACACTTTTTTTACTTTTATTTTTATCCTCCTTCGCCACTGATCGGCTTGTTAGCCGCTTTGGGCGATCGGTCACGTCTTTCATTTATAATTCTTCACCAAAAGATCGGCCTCGTAGCCGCCCGGCGATCGGTCACGTCTCTGTCACGCACTGTTGGCAACATTGGGCATGCACCGGCTCCTGAATGTACCTGAACCCGCTCCAGTGTGGTCAAGTCTTTTTTGAAAGAGCCTCACACTCGGTGCCGTCACAACACTCTCTGGTAGATTGTTCCAAGAGTTTACAACCCTCACTCCGAAAAGTTTGCCCTCACGGTTTTCTGGACTTGCGGCTTCTTCAATCTTGAGCTGTGACCCCTTGTGGGGCGAGCGTCCACCAGCTCCAAGTAAGGACAATCAACTGAGTAGTGCCCCCTGAGATGCTTATACACCCCAACTAGGTCCCCTTGCCCGTCTGTAGTATAAGCCAGGCAAGTTCAGGCGCTCCAATCTCTCAGGTAGCTGAGGTGCCGAAGTGCAGGCACCAGTCTGGTGGCCCTCCTTGAACATTTTCAACCAACTGACAGTCCCTAGCATATCCGGGGACCAGATGGGGTGACAGTACCCAGATGGGGGAAGCACTTCACCCTGAAGATCGTTACGAGGACGGACCGTCTAGATATCTGAACGACCTTCTTATAAGACCCAATAATTTATTTGCCTGATTTTCTTCTCACAATGGCCTGAGAACTTCAGCTCATTGTCAACATACACACCTAGGTCCTTCTCACACACAGTCTCAACTAGTGCAGTTTCTTCATCCTGTTGGGACATATGATACGCCTCCTTACTGTTGGTACGCCCCAGGTGCATCCTCTACACTTCTGTGACATTGAATCTCAGCAGCCATTTCTTCTGACCATTCCTGGAGCCCACAGAGGTCCTTCTGCAGCTCTTCAGTCCGCTTGGTTCTAATTTCCCGAAATAACTTGGCGTCATCGGCAAACATTTGTATGGAGGAGGTAGCAGTCAGGCATGTCATTTATGAAACAAACAAACAACAGCGGGCCCAATACACTGCCCCTGTGGTACTACTCACTTGTTACAGGTACAGATGATGATTTCGTGCCATTAATCACCACACACTGCTTGCGGTCATGTAGAAAGTCTCTATCCACGCTAGGACATTTCCGAATTCCGTACCCTTCCAGTTTGATTTTCAGCCTTTGTGGGTACACTGTCGAAAGCCTTGGCAAAATCTAGGTAAATATTGTCGATATTACCACCCCATTCCAGAATATGGGTCCAAATATCCAATACCTTGAGCAATTGTGTTAAGCAAGAGCGCCCCATAAAACCGTGTTGGCAATCTTTACAAGGTTGTTTCGTAGTAGATGTTCCATTGCGGCATCTCTGATAATACTCTCAAGTACTTTACATATTATGCTGGTCAGGCTCACTGGTCTATAGTTGTTCGTGGAGGACGATCGCCCTTCTTGGAAGATAGACTCACATAAGCCACTTTCCATCCACTGGGGACCATTTGTTTATCCAGGCATTTAAAAAACAG